CACGGACACCAAGGCAGCCAGGGCCACCTGGGTATTTGGATCTCAAGGTCTTTGACCAAAGAACCACAACCCTGAGCAGAACCTTTCCCTGCAGCAGAAAGATCTGCTCCTCTCCAGGCTTCCCCGGGGACCAAACACACGCTGAGCTCTCAGGGGACTCTGTCAGCAAGGCACTCATTTTTTTCTTCCCCCTCAATTAGGCTTTCTATTTAAAGGCATTTGTAGAAATGCCTGTCTCAGACCCAGTTAAATCTGGTCAGGAGAGGCGAGATGCTGAGCCACCCGATTTGATGTGACTGGGAAGGCAGAGTCGGGAAGAGGCGAGCGGGCGGCGTTGACTGCGCCTGCCTCGTTCGCTCAGCAGAGAGGCAAACCCCAAAATAACTCCACTGCCTAAATCGAGCTCAGGGATTTCACCAGGGATTTTGCTCCGTATCCGTAATGGGAGAGGACAAAAGGCAGTTTGGCTGAGAAGGGACCTTGGAGTGTCTGGGGGGAGAAGACATCACAGCCCAGGATGTGTCACCACCCTGTGCCGGTGTGGCTGGTGAAACAGGCGTGGCAGGGCAAGGGGATGTGTTTTTAAACTGGAAGAGGGTGGGTTTGGATTTGGAGAAATGTATAGCGAGGGTAGGAAGACACTGGGACAGGCTGCCCAGAGAAGTGGCTGATGCCCCATCCCTGGAAGAGTCCAAGGGCCAGGTTGGACAGGGCTTGGAACAACCTGGTCTAGTGGAAGGTGTCCCTGGCCCAGGGCAGCGGGGTTGGATGGATAGTTTTTAAAGATTCCTTCCAACCTAAACCATCCTGTGGTTCTGTGAAAACACAATTTCTTCATCAATCAACCCCGTGGCCTCACCAACCTGCCTTTCACCACTGGCAGCGTCCTAATCCCAGCTCAGGTGTTTCTGCAGTGCTGCACCCACTGGAAACACGCCCAGGGTTTTGGACCAAAGATGCCTTGGGAGGAGGAGGAGGATGAGCCCTCCAATAACTGGTAGATGGGAGGAAGATTTCTGCATTCAAACCTAATTCATGCAATGGCTCTGTACTACCAATAAACTCCCTGATTTTCTCTTGCATTCACTCTCCAGCACCAAGACCAAAGCACACAGAGGCAGAACGGCACACAAAAAGCTCTCCCAATCGTTCCTGTTCCTATGGCAACTCTTCCTCCTCCTCCTACTCTTCCCCCATCATGTTTTCAGATAAAACAACAAAATACAAACTGAACTAACTGCGAGTGCCTGCAGCTCTCTGGATGCTGCACCAGGAAAGTTTGCAGAAATTGAGAACCCCACTTCTGCACTGTGGTGATTTCACTTGGGCTTGTCGTGCCCTTGATTAGTTACTCCTGACAAGCTGCAGTCCAGCTTGAAAGAAGGCAGAAATGCCAGTAGAAAGGCTGAAAACCATCTGTTTAACTGCCTAAAGCCTCTCAGCTGGCTTCAAAACGAGACTTCCTCCCAAAAAATGAGGGTGGTTAAAGCCTGAGATGGGGAGAGAAGTTAGTGACGTTTTGTGAAGAGTCAGAAGGTCTTTGTACGAGCCTGACCTTCAACCAAAATGCAGACAAGCTCCCTCCCCTCCTGAGCATCACAGGAATGACCCCCTAAACCCCCATGGTTTGACAGTAAAACACAGCAGCTCATCATTGCCATGAGAAGCCACCCCAAGCTGGTGCCAAATCTCACGCAGAACCTCCCTCCCCAGCTCTGACCATTACTTGCACGCTACTTTTAGTGGGAAAAGAGAAGCAAAAGTCCTTACGGTAAACATCAGTTGGCAGCCTCCTAGGATGTAGTCCAGGAAGGAGAAATCT